TTTTTTTTTTTTTTTTTTTTTGTTCTTGAGTGTGCTTCAAATTACAGAAGTTCCTGAAAGGGAAGTTTATTGGTTTCAGGTGCTATTTCGGGGGCTTCTTTAACTCAAAAAAAAAAAAAAAAGAAAAGAAAAGAAAAGAAGGGGTTTGTATTGACCAGCCAAGGCTGTGGCAGCTGCTGGTCCCGTGGCTCTCTGGTCCCGGTGGAATTTGGGGGCCTGTGAGTTGTCACACCTGGGACACAACCCCGCTGTGGCTTTTATTGGAAGGAGCTTGGGAATGCTGGAGGGAGCTCGTGGCCCGTCCAAACCTGGTGACCTTGGGAAGAGGAAGCGAGGGCAGATCCCCACCAGAGGAAGCGAGGAGAGATCCCCACCAGTGGGATCTCCCCTCTGGGCACGTGCTTGGCCACGGCCAGGCCTCGGGTGGCTGTGGCCGCTTCCAAGGTGGTCAGGGACAGGTGGAAGGTGGCCACGGCCCAGGCTGGCCACGGTGTCCCTTGGCCATGGCCAAGTCCAAGGTGGTGCCACCAGGCACACACCTCCTGTCTGCTCCCCAAGGGCCCTTCCTGTGCCCTCAGTTTTCCTCTGGGAACTACCAAAACCCACGTGCGGCTTCACCTTAAGGATGCCAAGCTGTCTTTATCCCAGGAAAGGGAATAGAAGTTAGGAACCCTGACCCCACCCGGATTTTATTCGTGGGAAAAGCCGTGGCACCCCATTGGCAGGTGGATGCTCTCGTGGCAGTTTTGAGGACACATAAGGTGCCAGGCAGGGATGTTCCCACATCCCCCAGCCCCTGCCGGCCTCGGGAATGCCGAGCAGCCAAAGCCTGGCATGAGACGGCGGCCAACCAGTGCCACGGGAGCGGCCCCTGGGCACTGCCAGGCCCTCAACATCCACGTATGTAGGTATATATTTATTTTTTTTCCAATGACTCGCCGCTGACCTTTCAAACACCTGTTCGGCCTTAAACAGCTAAAAATACCCCCCGAGCTTTGCATTTGATTTTCATATCGCAACAAAGCTCACTGTTTCCAGCGGGTTCGCTCGTGTTTCTGGCGGGGTCTTGGATGGGCCACCTCTCCTGGGGCCAAACCCACGTGGGGACAGGGATGGGAAGCAGCTGGATTCCCTGAGAGCAGTAAAGGAACGTTACAGATGCTCTGACGGGGTTTTTATATGGTGTAAGGCAAGCCTGAGGATGGCTGGA